GTTTATGTAATGCTAGGAGGACACGGCCTCCACCCTCGTTCGGACGCCATGTCCAAGTTTCAAGGGTTTTACCTTGGCTAGTGAAGGCTGCGGCCTGGGAGCGAGGGACGTGGCCAGCAGCCCTCAGAGGGCCTTGTGTGCTGCATGCAGCTGGAGCCACCCTGCCTCCTCCAGAGGCGACTGTTGTCTTCTTGGCTTAGAGGCGGCCTCGCCTGTGCATGGAGCCCAGGGGGTCTCGGGAGGGCGGCCCACCTGCTCTGCCCGCGGACTGGCCAGGCCCCGGTGGAGCATAAGCATGCCTTCCTGCAGGACAGCGGGCATCTGTTGGCGCTTTCCCACAGCATCCCATCCCAGCAGATCAAGGGGCAGTCTCCGAGGCTCCTCCAGTGCTCCCATGCCATCTAGTATGTGTGTCGGGATTTCACTGCTCCTTGCCCATCCCCCATCTTGGCGGGGATGTTCTCCACGGAAGGCCCAGCCTTGGGCACCTCGTGGCATCCTGGAGTCACGGCTTTGCTGAACAGCTCCGGGGGATTGAAGTGGTGTGGTTCTTTGAGCAAGGTGGGTGGTGGTGTTCTGGAATCCGGCAGCCAGCCAGCAAAATTTCATAATCCCAAGTCTGGATCAACTTGTTCCTCAGCTCCTTCTGGGGGACCAGTGGATATGGATGGAGAATTGCAAGGACCCTGGGCAGCCCAGCCCAGCTCTCAGCTGTTTGCAATTCTCTGTTTATCTGTGTGTTTTTTGTATGTTCATAAATGAACAAACAGTTCTTTTGTGAGCACATGCTTGCGTCAGTATGGTTTCTACCCTCGTGGAGTTCACAACCGGGTTTGTGTGTGTCCTTGTGTGTGTGTCCATAAGAGTGTTTGCATATGTGTGTGTGTGTGTGTGTGTAGATCGGTCACTGACGCAGTGACCATTTATGGAGCACTCCCTCCGTGTCAGGCTCTGGGGCTGAGAATACTGTTCCCATGCGATCCTCACCACCACATAGGTCCATTCAACACATAGTGATGGAACACCTACTATGTGCTCGATGCTGTAGTAAGTGTTCAACATCGAGAAGTAGGACCTTTTAGAACTTACCTTATTATTAACCTCATTTCACAAATGAGGAAACGCGAGCTGAGCAGGCAGGCGCCTTAGCTGGGGGTAGACATCCAGTAGGTCCCAAGCTGGGACTCATAGCTTGCGCCCCTAACCATGAAGGTCGACTGCGTCTTTTGCATCCATGGGTAGATTCCTCAGTGGATGTGTCTAAAAACTCATCTGTGTCCATGTTTGTACAAGTATCGGACCCAAAGCCAGGGGTTGCTGGTTTTGCGAACATACTTTACCCCTCTGGCTACAATATCTATTTCCATGAGACTTTGTTTCTTATCAGTAAAGTGTTTGATGATGTCTGTCTACCAGACTAGAGGAACATGAGCAGGGGGAGGGTATGGGGCAATGAGATAACGTTCAAGAAAGGCCATTGTGGACTGAAGAGAATCATATGGATGAAGGAAGAAAAAAATACATTGATAGAAAGAGTAACTATTGGGGGAAGAAAGTTAACTTTTATCGATTCTCTGTTATGTTTTCCATTTGATGCCCATAATAACCCAGCAAAGTGGGTATTTTATCCCCGTATTATAAGAGAGGGAAACTGAGTCTCAGAGTAACGAAATGGCAGAGTCGTGGTCTGAATCCAAGTCTGGCCCTGTCCAGAGCCTGTGTTCTTTGTTCTAGACCCAGGATTGGTAAACTCTGGCTCACTGGCCCAGTTTGGCCAGCTGTCTGTTTCTGTAAGTGGAGTTTCCTTAGGAACACAGCCACTCCCATTTGTGGCAGACTGTCCATGGCTGCTTTGAGCTGCAGAGGCGGAGTTGAGCCACTGTGACAGAGACCATATGGCCCACAAAGATTAAAGGCTCCACTGTCTGACCCTTTACTGGAAAAGTTTACAAACCCCTGATCTAGACTCTAAGGCCTGTGATAAGAAAGATGTTTTAAAATACGTAAATAGAAATGCTATAAATTGTGAATATGCACATATATTGTACATACGCACGTGGACAGCAAAACTTCAGCCAACTGCACCCTTTGGGGGTAAGACAATCCTAATTTTCGAGAGAGTTCAGTTTTACCCCTAGGGGATCTTTCTAAATTATGTCACCCATTTCCCTACATTCTGAAACATCATATGCTGGGCATGTGTTAAACCTTCCTTGAAGAAATCTCACCATCGTTTCAAGCACTGGGGTTTTCTGAATTCTGGTTTTCAAGAATGGCATCAGGAATAGCTCTTCACTGGGTTGGCCTGGGGTGTAGTGGTTAAGTTTGGCACACTCTGCTCTGGCGGCCTGGGTTCATAGGTTTGGATCCCCAGTACGGACCTACACCACTCGTCAGCCATGCTGTGGCAGCAACCCTCATCTAAAGTGGAGCAAGGTTGGCACAGATGTTAGCTCAGTGCTATCTTCTTCGAGCAGAAAAAAAAAAGATAAAGATTGGCAACAGTGTTAGCTCAGGGTGAATCTTCCTCAGCAAAAAAAAAAAAAAAAAAAAAAAGACTAGCTCTTAACTCAGTGCCCCCAGTCCTTTTTTTAATCTTTCTGTCTGCTTTTTGATCATTTTTCCTCTTCTTGCATTTCTGACCCCCTGTTATTTCTCACCGTTTTCAATGTGCCTGATTGTGACCAACAGCTGGCTTTGCTTCTCAACTCTAGAAATCATCCAGCTCCTTCGAAGTGCACACAGAGGAAGCAGGGTCTGATGGAGAACCTGCGACACCTCCTCTCCCTCCTAGCCTCGGCTGTCCTCTGTGGCTGAGGTCTGGGGAAGCAAGGTTACACGTGTGTGTGGGTCTCCTCCCGGCCTGTTCCCCTCTCCCTGCTGGCCCTGTCGTTGCAGGGTTCAGACCAGTGGAAGCCAAGGGTGCGGCAAGCCCTGGAAGCAGATGATGAGTGTGGCTGGCTCCTTGCGCTTTGCAAATACCAGATCTTAACCTCAGGTTGCAGCTTGAGGAGCTAGAGCTCGCTGTGAGTTGCTTTAATCCTGATCACAGGTGTTCGTGGAGGCAGCGTTCTTTGAGTCCGGTTCACAGTGGTGGAATCTGAGACTTGGGAAAGGCAGGCTTGCCTGTGAAATCAAAGCACAATTTCATATTCAGAGATGCGGTTTTAAAATAGAAACCGATTGTAATCAAGTGTGAAAAGGCAATAGTCGTTTGTTTCTAATCATTCCACAGAGCGTGGTGACCTATTTTTATTGACAGGTGTTTTATCTACCTTGTGAGTAGCTCTTATTTAAATCTACACGCTTGGCCTGCCAGATGCTTTTAAACCCACTTTTGTTTTGGTTGGTGGTTGTATTTCACCTTCTGCCACCCGCCGGGCCAGCCTCACGGCCGTGTGTCCTGGGCAGCCATGCAGGGCTCCATGCTCAGCAGGGCCGTGCGCTTGGTTGCATGCTCTGCCGTCACTGGTTTGAAATTCTTAATAATTTTTGAGTAGGAGGCCCTGTGTTTTTGTTTTGCCCTGGGCCCTGCAACTTACGTAGCCGATCTTGACCATCATGGAATGGCATCATGACACGTCATACGTGGAAAGACCTTAGAAATCAGCCTTTCAAAACTCCTCATTTTAAAAGTGGAGGAACTGAGGCCCCCCAAAAAACTGGAACTGACTCGCTTGAGGATGGTGCCTTGGCATCTCAGGAGGATGGATGGTAGGTTCAGACAAGTGGGACGCTCTGATCTTGAGGTCCCTCCTGATCACAGCCTCTTCCTCCTCCACAGAGACACTGCTTCCAGCTCAGTTCATGCTGAGGGATGATGAGCGAGTTTAATAAATAGTGGTCTAAGTAGTTAATACTGAGGAATTTCATTTTGCTTTTCACCCCCCCTTTCCCCAACAAACGTGCACACAAGTTTAACCAGTTTTCTCTGCAGTATTCGAAAGTGGTTATTGATTCTAATGGTATTCATCTTAGTGGTAAAAAAAAAAAATCTCTCAAAAATGCCAGCAATTTCCCTAAATTAAAAATTTGAGGGGCTGGCCCCCTGGCTGCATGGTTAAGTTCACACGCTCCACTTTGGCAGCCTGGGGTTTGCGGGTTCGGACCTACACCCTGCTCATCAAGGTATGCTGAGGCGGCACCCCATATAGAGAAACTAGAACAACTTACCGCTAGGACACACAACTATGCACTGGGGCTTTGGGGAGAAAAAACAAAAGAGGAAGATTGGCAACAGATGTTAGCTCAGGGCGTCTTCCTCAAAAAAAAAAAAAAAATTGGATGGCTTTTTTTTCCCCACTTATAGAAGTGATACGTTCCCATGGTTGGAAATTTGGAAAATGACCAGGAAGAAAACAAATCACCATGCCACATGTTTTCTGTGTATTTTTTCCAGCCGTCTTTTCCATGCGTGTGCGTTTTTCACGTAGTTGATCTCAAAGTGTATTCATGTGAACTTTTCATGTTCCATTTACTATTGTGTTAGATTAAACCATGTGAAATTGCTGTTTTTGTGGGTCAGAAAGGGTTGAGTCTTGGCAATTTGATGTTGTTCAATGCAGTTGCAGAAGCATCTCCTTAAATCGTAGAGAATTCTTTGTAAACATCTTATTTATCGTCTCTATAAAATTCCATCATGTGGCTGCGTGCACTTATGCAACTTTTATCGAACCAGGTGATAGACAATTATTATGTTTTTATAATATAATCATTAATATACTTCTTATAACGTTTTACATAAATAATTATATATAAATAACTCTAAGTCATGACGCAATAAAACATCTTTTGTTTCTTGGCCATCATAGATGCAGAGTCTTTAAAAAATAACTTTCATTATTTTTTATGTTAAAAAAGTTGGCATTTTATAAAAAAGCTTGCAAAAAGTAGACTGAAAGAGAGAAGGAAAATCGTTGTCCCGAAGTGAGATCTTTGGTGACTTCCTTTCTGGCCTTTGTTTCTTGCATTTATATGCATTTGAAAGCCTACATTTTTTTGTCACCAAACAACATGTGGTGAACATTAAATAGAATATTATGAGTCTGATTAAGTGCGTTCCCGGTGCCCGTGGGGGATGTTTCAGGAAAGAGCCACTCCAAGTGTGCTCCATGGATCAGCGCCAGTCACAGAGTGCTTCCCCCTCTCTGTGCCGAGCGAGTTCAGAAATTGAGGGCAAGCTTTTAGAAACTTTTACAGTAATTGGACATTGCGTGGTATCCAAGCATGTCGACCTTTTTTCCTCTTTTTTTGATACTTCATCTTTTGTTTTATTTTACAAAACTCTCAGCCTGAGGTAGAGAGGGGAGAAAAAGACCTTTCAGCTTGGCTGGACGGAGAAGCATTACTCTGGAACCCAACCAGCATCTGGGGCCACAGCACAGGGAGGGGTGGAAGCTTGCTCTCAGATCCTATCCACACGGGTCGTGTGGGGCTTTTAAAATTCCTCTGTCTGCTCTCTCGTGGTATTTTTATTTTTCCCTCCCTTCTTGCTGCTTTCAATGAGAGTGTCTCTCATTTCCTCTTTCCTCCCTTTTCTTCTTCTGCCTTCTTTTTCTTTCTCCCTTGACCTGTCTTTTTTCTCACTTTCCCCCCTTCTTATCTCTTGGCAGCAAGGGAGGGAGGGAGCTAGCCAACCACACAACCAAGCTTTTTGGAGTGAGTTGGGAACTGTGTCAACAGGATCTGAGCTAGGGTCTCAGTGTCTCTGTCTAAGGCAGACATGCTTGTGTATCCAGCTATTGTGGCCTGTCTTCCTCTAACTCAAGAGGAAGGCTCTTTCTTACCTCATAGATGCTGGTTGCATGTTAGATCTGAAGTTGGCCAGCTCCGAATAACTTAGATATGTTTTAAACCTGTTATTTTTTTAATGTTAGCTCTATTTTGGCATTGTCACGATCCCTGCCATCTCTCCTTGGCGTAGAGTCAGCAGCTAGGGTAACTGGGCATTTCCAGGGACCTGTGCGATACCTGATCTTTTTTCCAGCAGAATCAAAAGCCCAGAGAAAACAGTGGGTTGGTGGTGACGTCCCGTGGCCGGTGATCAGGAGCGAGTGGCATCAGCTTCGGAGCGGTTTCTCAGACTCCATCAGCCTAACGTCCCCTGGGCCACATGCACAAGTCCAGTGCTGCGAACGAAGCAAACAGCAATGACGACATAACTGGCTTTAGTTAAATAATTTGCTGTTTACGGCTTCTCTGTTATGAATCGGTTACAAGCCCTTTTAAGTGAAATTGGATAGACGACAAAGTGTTGGTTTCATGTGTTTTATTTGCAGTTTAATCAGCGTGATCCAGCTGCTGGAGTGGGGAGAGTTGAGCCGGGGTTTTAATTATCCCTCCTTTGCCCGAGTTAGGAATTCCCGATGGTGCCGTCTGCTCGAAGATGCCAAAAACCGCATTGTTCTTTAATTAGCTGTTGTAATTGTTTCAGTGTAATCTCCGTGATTAGCAACAGCATTAAATACAGCAGGAAGAAAAGGGCTGTCCTCTATGTGCTGCCCCAGTAAACAGAGCCTTTCTCCCTTCTGGAGAGGGATATCACAGAAAATCAATTAGAACCCAACCAGCATTGATTGGAAAATGATAAAGACCAGCCGCCAGGAAGAAGAGATGGCTCCGGGGAGTTGGTTTATGGCCCCCACTCGCCTCGCCTGGAGAGCTCTGCAGCCTTGACCTGTCACCCAGGTGTTTGGACAGGGCCCCACTGGATGGCTCTGGCCCTCACCAGGGACGGGGAAATGGCCTGGATTGACACCAGCTGTTGTCTTGGCTGCGGGTCCTCTGTTTCGTGCATTCAACCACAAGCTTTGACTGAGCGCTTCTTTTGTGCCAGGCATCATGCCAGGTGCCCAGGGATACAGTGCTCATCAAGGCAGGCGCAGTCCCTGTCCGCACAGAGTCTGGAGTCTAGAGGAGGAGACCGATATTAATCAAACGCTTGCACGAGCAATGAGTTCACTGTAAATTGTGAAAGCCTAGAAGGGCAGGTAGGAGAGAGTTTAACAAAGGTACTTCATCTGGTCTGAGGGTCAGGGAGGGTGTCCCAGGAAAGTGAAATATAAGCTGAGATCTGACGGGTGAAGAAGAGTTAGCTGGACAAAGAGGCCCCACGAAGGGTGTGTGAGTCGGAGGGAGCAGCTTGTGCAAAGGTGCTGAGGCAGGGAGGAGTCTGGCCTACCTTTTCATCCTTCTCTTACAGGCAGTAGAGTGTTGGGGGGGAGTGTGCCACATTCTGGATCTAGGCTCCATGAGTTCAAATCCCATCTCCACTGCTTACCAGCTGTGGGTAACTCTTCAAGTGCCTTTTCACCACTCTGCCTCAGTGTCCCGGGCTGCAAAATGGGGATGCTGATGCTGATGACAATAGTAGTATCTAGTTCACAGAGTCCTGTGGAGATTAAGTTTATACATGTAAGGCATTCAGAAGGTTGCCTGGCACAGGTGAGGCCCCGGAAGTGGGAGGTGGGGCAGCCTTGACTTTGGAGTCAAAGAAAATGGGCTGAAATCTAGATCTGCTGTGTGCAAGCTTCATGACCTTGGCCTACTTACCGAACCTTGTGAAGTGGGGACAATATCCACTAACCCCGAAGTGCCTGGTGGTTAAGGAAGATTTGTCAGACCTGCTGCAGCCTATTGGAGGCGCTCAGAGAACAGTAGCTCTTGTCACTATTCTAGAAACATCTGCCTGGCCCATGGCTGGGGGCTGATGCTCAGTAATGGTAAGTTCCTTTTGCTTTTCCTTCTTTCTTCCTCTTGCCAGCAGGCCCGTTGTCCCCACACTCCCAGAAGGGAGAACTCTGTGGCAGGTTTCCCGGCCTCGCCACTGTTGCCCTTTGGGGCAGGGTAGTTCTCGCCCGCGGGGGCCGCCCTGTGCACTGTGGGGTGGTCAGCAGCATCTCTGGTCTCTATTTGCTGGATGCCAGTAGCACCTGCCCCCAGGTCAGGATCCAGAACGTCTCCAGCCATTGCCAGGTGACCCCTAGGGAGCGAAATTGCCCCCCGCTGAGAACCACCGCTCTAGAGAAAAGTCAGAGCAAGTAAGACTGGCTGGCAGCTGGGAACGCTGCAACCTGATGCTAGGATGCAGGCGGAGAAGTCTGGAGGGAGGGGGTCCTTCGAGGGGGAGGAGCTTACAGCCATTCTCAATTTCGGCTCCACGTTGGAAGCACCGAGGACGATGAAAGAACTAACGCTCAAGCCCCACCAGAGACGCTGATGTCGTTGCTCTCGACGCCGCCCGGGCATCATGATCGTCGAAAGCCCCCAGGTGATTCTGATGGGCTGCCAGGGTTGGGAACCGCTGTCTCGTTGAACAGCTGTCAGACCTGTGTGACAGGTGAGGTAGGCACAGGGAGCCCTCATGTTTATGTGCCACGTGGTACTGTTAGCATTAACCCCATTTGAACAGTAAGGAAACTCAGGCACAGAGTGGTTAAGAAACTTTTCCAAGATCACACAGCTAAAAGAGGTGGAACCAGGAATGCGACTCAGGTCAGGTGGTCAAGAGCCCAAGCCCCATTGCCTTAGGGGGCGGGAGGAAGAAGTGGACGTGGGCATTGGGAGTGGTGTGTTCGAGGCTCTGCAGAGTGGGTTGGAGCAAGGTCTTAGGGCATGCAGGTTGGAGGAGAGGCCAAGCCTTCCTCCGTTCTCTCATTGAATCTTTATTGAGCTCCTGCTGTGCTGGGTTCTGGAAAAACACTGCAGACCACAACAGGCGTGGGCCCTTTCCTCAGGAGCCTAACAGTCTCGCCGTCTGTGGAAGACACAGACAGGAGTCCAGTAAACAGCACTTAATTTATACCTGCACGTTGGTGGCAACAGGAAAATTAATAAGGAGCTGCTATCAAATCCAGCGGAGTGGGCTGTTTCATACAGGGTGGCCGGGAGAGGCTGAGAGATGGATGAGAAGCAGCCAGTGGCTGAAGGAAGGAAGAAAGACTGTTCCAGGCAGGGGGAACAGCACCTGCAAACTCCCCGCGACTCAGCATGCTTGGAGCGATGGAAGACCTGACGTCCCACAGGCAGGGCATGAGGACGTAAAGTTTGAGGAAGGAAGAGGCCGGGTGGCACAAGCCGTTGTCCCATTCGATGGCCGAGGAAACTAAGGCCCAGAATCGGGGCGGAAGCGTATCCTTCCCCCAGGGTCCCGCCACTCGTGTGAGAGCCTGAATTCAGATCCAGGCTGTGTGGCTTTGACGTGGAATGTTCCAGCATGGCCCCCATTTCATCCTCTGCTCATTGATCGGCCTCTGTGTTCGGATGTGGGGTCTGGAAAATACAATTAAGACAGGGCTCCTCCTGTCAAGCTTCTGAGATCGAAGAGGTAGAGAGAACTCAGGGGAGGCGCCCACTGACCTTGAACGTAGTAGGCATTTCATAGACCTTTCCCGGCCGTTTCTCAGCTGCCTGTGAAGTGCCGGCTCTGTAACAGATATTTTTCATTCCAATGATGCGTCATTGGGAGGAAGCTCTTTACAATAGATGTGTCATCATTATCCCCATTTTACATACGTGAAAACCGAGGCCTGGAAAGTGGGAGCTCCCCAGCAAGGGTGTAAGCAGACCTCCTGACAACAGCCGACTCTTTCTTCCGCCGCGCCTTTCTGCTTTGCCTCTGCGTTGTCCAGAGCGCCTGGAAGTTCATCACACACATTCGTAGAATCGTTAACGAGTTCACGGGGCCGGGTTCCCAGTGCAGCGCGCCGGGGGTCTGCATCATTGGCGCCCGCACGGCACGACGTCGCGTTTTGTGGAGGCGCCAACCTGATCCTAGCGTGCAGGGAGCAGACCTGCGGCCAGATGTGAGAACCAAGCCGGGCCCCCACCCTGCCCTTGCTGGAGGAGCCAAGTGGTTTATAGGACAAAATAAAGTCTCAGCCTTGTGGGGAAATCTCCCCCTCCCCACAAACGCCGGGGGCTGGTGTTGTCCTTGGAAGTCAAGCCGACTCAGCAGGGTGTCCTGTGCTCGGGCAGTGTAGCCAAGTGGTTAGGAACCCAGGCTTTAGAGTAAGATCAACTAAACCCAGGTGCCAGCTCCCGGGTCCCCTTTCCTTCCTTCCTCGAGTATTGATTCAGGCTCTGCTATGTGCCAGCATCGCTCCAGGCGTCAGCCATACTAGGAATCCAAGCTCCCTGACTTCATGGAGCCCAGCGAGATGAAACAGACTATAAACACCTCAGCACAGACGTGAGTGAGAAAACTTCAAGGACGTGGAAAGGAGCTATGAAAAAGATTAAACTGAGTGATGAGATGGGTAATGGCTGGTGTGGGGTAGGTGATATTTGAGCCCAGCTTTTAGCTTTGAATGATGAGAATAAGCCAGACAGATGGAATTCAAGGATGTAGGGAAGAGTACTCCATACAGAGGAGTGGCATGTGCAAATGTCCTGAGGCAGGAATGAGCTTGGCCTGCTGGTTGAAACTGGGGATGAGTGAGGAGAGGAGAGAGGAGTTTATAGAGGTGGGCAGGCGCTGGATCCCATAAGGCCTCACAGGCCACAATCTGGAGCTTGGATTTCATTCTAATTACAAAAGAACACGTGAGATTAATGAGATCCTGCATGTAAATATCCTCTCAGCGCCTGGCACGTGCGCTGGGTTCCATAAATATCAGCTGTTGATGTCGCTATTTACTTACGGTTCCTTTTTCTTTGGGCACGCCTTCCCCAGGCCCCTGGGGTAGCAGTCATGGATCTCAAAGGTTGCCTTTCCCCTCTCCGTCATAAAGGACGCAAGGAGAAGTTCTAGTTCAAAGAACCGTGAAGAGATGGCACGAGGCAAACACCCAGAAATGGCATCGCTCGCAGTTCCTCCTTGTCAATGAAGAGAGCCCCATTAAGCCCGCTTGGGGTTTAAAAGTCAGTTTTTCAGATCCCACATGCTGCAGACAATTGGGTTCACCCCAAATCCTTCCACTATCCAAGGCAGCCAAATGGGGGTAGACCAGGGCCTCAGAAGAAGGGACCCCGACTCAGAAATCTGCACAGAGTAGGGAGGCAGGGTGGCTGGTCCCCCACGCTTCCGCCCCCAGCTGTCATTTGAAACTCTGTAAATACCCGCTGCCAATAACCTCCGGCCCCGGGCCCAGATGACACGTGTAAATATCTTCTCCATGTGCTATCCAAAGGCTCAGTCAATAAGCTTAATTTCCTGTGGATTCCACTGTTTGATTGCTGCAGCCTAGAAAACTGATCAGATCAAAGCTGTGTGCCTTGGGGAGGGTAGTTGTGTTGCAAGCGGTGGAACATGGTGGCAGTAAGGCCAGCCAGCCTGCCTGGTGGCATCTTGCCTGATCCCTCTTTGCTCTCACACCCTGCTGGGGCCTGGCCCAGGGACGGCCGCAATTTCCTAACCGTCTTCTGGCATCTTCTGGGAACTTTGCGGATTGTCATCACACTCTCGTTGGCCCCGTGTCGAGGCACAAAGATTGTGATTTAATCCAATGGTGAGAATCTTGCAGAGTAAAATCAGGGCAAGATCTTCTGGTTTGAGTCCAGAGCAAGTGGATGGAAGGTCAGGGGCCCTGGCCTTGGAGTCAGACCTGGGATCCACCTGTAGGTTGCCTGATGTCTCTACGCTTCCATTTCCTAACCTAGGAATCATTCTGTGTCTACCTCATCGAGGTCACTTGTTCGCCCATTTGTTAAGCACCTGTTATGTGTCTGGTTCTGGGCTACAGTGCTGGAGGAAAGGCGATGGAAGACATACCCTTGTCTTGATGGAGGAAAGAAGCAGAAGAGTCTGGAATTGAGGGAGGTCCTGCATATGATTGGGGCTTGAGAAAGGGCTCCCGGGGGGCTGACATTTAAGCCGAGATGCAAAGGATGGGGGGGGGGTGGTGAGCACAGGATGTGCAGATGCCCAAGGTGACAAATGCACAGAACAAGAAACGGACAGAGATCGAGGTGGCTGGAGGGAGGGAGAGAGGCTTGAGTTTGGGTTGAGTGGAGACCCAGGAAGCAGACTGGCTGTCATCCAAAGGGCTTGCACCATCTCTTGGCTGGCGTTTTCCCGTAGCCTCCACATCTGCCTCCCTCCTTCTCTCTTTGCCACCCAGCAGGCTATTCTCAGTGCAGCTGCCAGAGCTGTTCTTTAAATCATGAGTCAGATGAGGCCATGCCTCTGCACAAAACCGACAGGTGGCTCCTCATGCCATTTGGAGTAAAGCCAAGGCCCAACTTTAGCCCAGCTGCCACTCACCTCTGGACCTCATTACGTACTGCTTCCCCCTCACTCATACCTGCCGGTCACATCACACCAGGACCCAGCCTTTCTCCTTTCTGTGACTAAGTTTCCAGGTGTCACGTTATGAATTCTATAATACAATGCATCCCTTTTTGCTTTGGCCACCAGGAAGCTCAGAGCCTCATCTAATGTCAATTGGAATCCTTCTGTTTGCTTCAGTGTTTAAAGTTTCCCCTCCCCCACCGTGGTTATTGATTTTCTTTCTCTAGCGTAGTGGTTTTTCTGGTTTCTGTGTTTTCCCTTGCAGGCCTTCCTTTTAGGGAATGGGAGGGTGTAAATTGTAGTTTGGTTTCACATGCTGCTCTCAGCTAATTATGCGTCCATTCCCCCTCCTAGTATGAGTTCTTTTGGAGCACAGATCTGTCAGTGTCATTCAAGGTGAAGCCATTGATGAGGGTGAGAGGGGAGCTTCTGGTGCTCTGAGGGGAACTTGTAATGCATACTCTGGGATCTAGAAGCTGGTGGTTTCTGCCAGGCACTAAAAATGACTTTGACCCAGCCACGTGCAGCTGGGGTGGACTGACAGTGCCCTTGTCCTCCTCCTCTGTGGCACCCAGGGGGGCTAGTGTGCGGTGATGGATGAGCCTGGAGGCTCCGGGAGTTAGAGCCCCATTGAGCTCCTGGCCAGAGTGGGGGGCCGTGTGGACAGTCCTGGACCACAGTTCATCCCCCGAGGAGGGCCTGTCGCTTCAGAGCTTTCTCCAGAATCTCCAGACCCAAAGATTTCAGAGTTGTTCAAATGATTCCTGGACCCAAGGGTTGACTTTCAAAATCAAAACTGGCCGCTAGGGGGTTCTCCAGGCTGGTTTGACCTGCAGAATGTTTTAAAACTGTTGGGTTTGAATGTTCTTGAGGCTGGACAAGCCCTGTCCAGTGCCCCCGACCCTCCCAGAGCGGATTGGCTGATAATTGATGACCATGACCCATTGATGCGACCTTTGATGATCAACCCATGGATGTCCGAGGCTGCGTTTGGAATCTCTGGGCAGAACAGAAGTGAAAGATCCCCCTTACCTCTGCCCCTGCGATCCCACTCTCTCCCATACAGAGCAGGGAGGGTAACAGTTTGGGGGGGGGATCCTTTGAGCCTGACCCACACTTTCCAGTTGAGGAAACTGAGGCTCGGAGAGGTTAAGAGCTGAGGTTATTTATCAGTCCCCGAAGACTCTTGTTTCTACATCCAGGCAAAATGGCTCCCAGCGCCGGAGTGGATTTTTTTAAACGTTAATTTTTCGTGGTTTGAACTTTTTTTTCCCCCTCATGAAAGGACACCTTTTTTGCCTAACTACACAGGCAGCATTATAGCAACATGAACGGAAGGCCACGTGGAAGAAGGAAAGAATTCACCCACGGCCCCACCGCTCTGGCCACAAGTCAAGCAGTGTGCTTGGGTCCGAGCGTCCCTGTCCACATGCCTAGATTGCCTGGACATATTTGTAAGCACAGGGAGCGGTCCCTTCTAAGGAGCCCAACAGGCCATAAAAGTTAGCAGCAAAATGAGGGCCCTGTCTGGTAGGTCGCTGGCCACTAAGGCGGTGTGGCTGGAGGCCCTGTTCATGAGGGGGCCCTTGTCTGGTGCTGTAAGGCCTCTCTGTGTGTCCTCTCTCCCCACTCCGGTCCACCCCACCCCAGCCCCTGCGGCCAGGGGCCGAGAGTTGGCCGAGAGGAAGGCCGAGCAGCTCACTGCTTCCTGCTTCCTGGCCCACAAGCAGCCTCTGTGGGTTGCCAGGCGCCAGGGCAGAGGCTGGGACGTGAAACAGCAGATTCTCATTTGGTCCTGATGTTGGCAGACAGCCCGGGACAGCCCTGCAAACGTCACCAGACCAGGTACCTGGGTGGACCCGGTGGACAGGCGCACCTTGGAGTTGGGAGCCAGGCGGCCTGGGAGCCAACAGCACAGGGCATCTGTGGCCAGCGCTCTCTCCCCAGCTTCTCTGCTCGGCCCCTGCCCATGGGGCTTTTTCCAGAGAACCCGGTCCTTCAGGTTGGGCCTGGAGCCTCCATTTGGCACCCGGCAGTCCTTTTCAGATGTGGATGTTCCCAGAAACATCCCTGATCCACAAGAGTTTGCATAAATACCAGAACTTGCCAGAGAAGCAAAAGTGAGTAATGACTTTGAGCCCCAAGACTGAAGAGTGGCTTTGAGCCAGACTTCTGGAGTTCACTGTCTGCTCCCAGCCCGCCTCATGCAAGTCCTTGATGCTCCCTGCGCTTCTGTTTCCTCATCTGCAAAATGGGTTCATAATAGGGTTGTTGTGAGGACTCAGCAGTGACACACACACACACGAGTGCATAGAAAACGTGAAACCAGTTGAGGTCTGTGCTCTGGTTCATAGTCTTGTACCGATGTTAAGGGCCTGGCTTTCATATGGCACCGCAGTTACATAAGATGTCACCATTGGCGGAAGCTGGGCGAAGGAACACGGAACTCTCTGTGCTGTCTTAGCAACTTCCTGTGAGTCTGTAATTATTTCTTTGAAAAAGTTGAAAAAGAAAGAAAGAAAGAAATGTTAATGTATGTAAGGCCTTAAAACAGGGCGTGATGTGTGGTAAGCATTCCATGAGAGTTGGCTGTGACAATGATGACCAGGAGGAGGGGGGTTTGAGGACGTGTATTCCAGCCTTTGCGGTGCTGTGCCACGAGACAACTTGCAGGTTAAGAGGAAGCAGAGCTTTTGTGGCCTCCTGGTTCCCTCCCCTCCCTTCTCCCCCCGTCTCCCTCCGCCCTAGCCCAAGCTCCGGGCACAGCCGACAAGTGACACCCCTGAACCCCTTGCTCCATGCAGCTTAGTTTTGCTCATGCGGTGCGCTCTAAGATGCTCCCCTAACCCTTGTCACCTGGCAAGCTCCCCTCCATCCTTCCAGCTCACACATTCCCTCTTCTAGAACGTCTTCGTGGGCCCCTCTGAGCTCTGCCGGGACCCCCATGAGGCTGTCGCTCGGTGGTTCTCAAAGCGTGATCTGGGACCAGCAACGTCAGCACGAAGAACGGGAGAGAAATGCCAATTCTCCTGCCACACCCCAGCCCTCCTGACTCAGCACCTAGGGGTGCGGTGCGGTGGGGTGGGGACCAGTGAGCTGCAGTTTTCCCAGCCCTTCCAGGTGGTTCTGATGAGCCTGCTCTGGCCCAGCACCTCCCCCACTGACAGATCACCTGGGATCTTGTTCACATGCAGCTTCTGATTCAGCAGGTGTTGGGGGTGGGGCCCGGGAGTCTGCATTTCCAGCAAGCCCCCCGGTGCTGCTGCTGCTGCTGCTGCTGCTGGCTTCCTCAGGGCCAGGGTCCACATCTCCTGCCCTGCCAGAGGAGTGGAACTTGGCGATTTGTTGTTACTGCTGAACTGATGCGTGCGTTTGCAGAGGCTGATTATCCCGGACAGGAGAGCCGGTCTTCTCTCGGCGGAGGGGGAGGGCAGGGAGGCCCCGGCTTCTAGCTGGTCCTGGGAAAAGGAAGCTTGTAAGGGGGAGGGGAAGAGGCAGGCCACCTATTCCCCCCGCCCCAGGCAGGCCAGAAGCCACGCTCTTCCCTGTTGCCTTGTTTACCCTAATGGTGTCTGGGAATGGAGCCATGGGACGTGACCCCTGAAAGGAACACTTTTTAAACTTGGCACAAGCCTGTTTCTTCCTCCTCCCCACCAGTGCATTTATTTATTCCCCAAACGTTTACTGAACTGAGTAGGAACGAAGACACATTCGTGGGCAGAACCAACGTGGGCCCTGCCCTCGGGCAGCGTCATCTTGTGGTGGGGACAGGTGTCAGTCACTGAGCCAGGCTGTGATGAGCTCAGTGTCCTGAGGCTGTTTAGCTGTGGGATTTGGCAGGGGAGGGTCAGCAGACTTCCCCTGGGAAAATGACATTTAAGCTGAAACGAAGAAGTGGAGTGTGGGTAAGGCTGATTTTAGGAAGAGGAAGTGGCATGTGCAAAGGTCCTGATCGGAGTGAGAACCTGGTAATAGCTGGAGAGAATGCTAAGAAGCAAGAGAAAGAGGGGGAGGGGGGAAGCCGGGGGTGGGCAGGAGCTGGGCCTTGCATGCTGCAGAGCAAATTCCATCTTTATCCTAAGAAAAATAGGAAGAAATAGAAGGACTTTAAGCGAAGGAGTGGTATCTGAGTTGCCTTCTCTAAGGGTCACTGTGGCTGCTGGGTGGAGACGGGGAGAACGGGGGGCAGGGTAAATACAGGGGCACCTCTATACAGGAAGCTGCCGCTCTTGTCTAGGTTCAGGTGATGGTGGAGCCGGACAGGAGTGGATGAAAGACTTGGAGAAGGATGGGAGCCGGGGTGTGAGGAAGAGGAGGATGTTAAGGAAGTGTCCGGTAATTCAGCTCAGTTGTAGCTCCTTCCTTAAGGCAGTCCTAGAAGTTTCCATCTGATTCCATCTTTATAGGGGTGATGTGCTCCTGCACCAGCCTCCAAGCCCAGCTGCCTTTGAACTCACGTGACCTCTCTTTCCTGCCACCTCCATTCCCAGTGGCTCCTCGACCTGTGCCCCTGTGACCTCTGCATTTTACTGCCTCCCTGTGTAGCTCCCTCAGTATCCACCAAAGGGTATGTTCAGACGCTGGAGAGAGGCATGAATTTCTCCACCTCTAAGCTCAAGTCACAAACACACAGCTGAACTCCATACCTCTTCGTCTTCTTGACTGCAGTGGGTCATCCACAAAGGAGGAACATTAAACCACTGGGGACAAGAAGCACTTCCAAAGACTCCTGTGAAGGAAGAGGAATAAGAGGCAGGTGGAGGGGTGTGCATGTTTCCTGCGACAGCCACATGCAATCTTCAGGGCTGTGAACATAGGTTCTCAGAACAGTTGCCCTCTTAACAAGGCAGAGCACAAACAGGACATTCTAGCAGCAGCTGGGAACCGAGCTGTTGTCTGCCTGTGGACCGCCTCTGTTCTGCTCATCCATCATGACTAAGAGCCGGCTGAAGGAGCGGAGGCAAGCCAGGGTGGCGGGTCAGCCTCGTCGCCTCGCTCCTTCGGCCCTGCCTTCTTCCAACAGGTATTTGCTGAGTGAGGGCCTGCTGGGTGTCAGACACTTTGAGACAAGTCGTTCTCAACCAGAGGCAGTTGTGTCCCCAGGGGATATTTGGCAGTATCCAGAGACATTTTTGGTTGTCGCAACTGGGATGCAGAGGGTCTAGTGGCTAGAGGCCAGGGATGCTGCTAAACATCCTGCAGCGCACAGGACAGCCCCCCAGCAAAGAACCCTCTGGTCCCAATATCAGTGATGCTGAAGTTGAACAGCTCCTGTTGTGGACCCTTGCATTTCTCTGAACCTCCTGCTTTCCTCCTCTCCTTTGGGCAGATATCTCCTGAGCTCTCTTTGCATGCTAGGCTCCGAGCGAGACATTTGCTTTTCCACGAACTTCATTTCTTCTTGTCACCCATGTTTGCCTCCATCCACCACTGTTTCCTCAGTATCAGCTATGGCGCCAGGCGCTGTGCCAGAGCCTAGTGCCACGGACTCTGCCTCCTAGGGCGCAGGAAGGCCCCTGGGCGTGGAAGCAGCCCAAGCCCCGATCAATCCCTCCTTTTATTCAGGGCAAAGTTACAAATGGGCCAGAGTCATTGGAAAGATTTTCCACCTCACTGTGCGGAGAAGCCCTTAGGAAAGATGCATGCATGGACCCCCTTGTACCAGGACGTTACGGACCTTGGAAAGGCAGGAAATATCTCTTGGCTTTCTTCCTGCCACAAAAACTGCCTTTCAGGTCAAATTTCCTCTGTGCCCAAGCACATTTGATTCAAATCTATTCCACTGCCAAATGTAAATAAAATAGAGATGACTCCTGTAATGAAAAAGAGAAATACCCTGGTGTGGTAGTTTGGACTTCCAGAAAATAGAGCATTCAAACTTCAGGCTCAAATAACTAACGGATTCCCAGGCCCCAGGCGCTGGCCCACTTATTCCAGGCAGCACAAGCAAGCAACTGCCAGAACATGCACTGCCGAAGAGACCAGATGCTCACGTTCAAGGCTCAGCTCTGACTCACTCCAGCTGCGTGACTTTGGGCAAGTCACTTTGCCTCTCTGGGCCTCAAAACCTTCCTCTGTAAAATGAGGAAGAAAGTCAGCATGTAGGGCAAAAATCTGGTGTCTGAAAAAGTCTGAATTTTGGTTGTCTGTTGTATAGTCTCTCTCTCTCTCCGGTTCTCTCACTTTTTCTCATACTCTCACTCTTTTTCCCTCCCCCAACCACCTACCTTTGAATTCTCTTCATTTGGATACACTTGTGGTGGATCCCCACCTGTCTTAGCCTGCTGGGCCTGCTGTGAAAGACCATAGACCGGGTGGCTAAAAACAAAAGGGATTGATTTCTCAGAGGTCTGAAGTCTGAGGTCAGGGTGCCAGCGGCAGACTGCCGACTTCTTGTTGCATCCTCACGAGGCAAAAAGAAGGCAAGGGAGCTCTCTGGGGTCCCCTTTATAAGGGCACTAATCCCATTCTTGAGGGCCCCACCCTCACGACCTAATCACCTCCCCACGGCCCCGCCTCCTGATTCTACCACATGGGGTGGGGTAGGATTTTAACGTGAATTTTGGGGGGGAAACAGACGTTCGGTCTATAACACCGCCGCCTAATCTCATCCTGGAGGATGCGCCTGGTAAGTTACTGGGAAATTGATCCCCACGCGCCAGGGGAGGGTCAAGAACTTCCAGCTGCTGGTGCTCAGAGGCTCTCGGGGTGACTTTCTAGTTGCTGTTCCATGTCAGGTGCACTTCACTCCCTGTGTGTAGGGGAAGTGAGGAAGTGCACAGTTGTCCTCAGCTGGAGAGGGCACCCCATCTCCCAGGGCGAGCCTTTCCCCCGAGGCCAGAGGAGTGAGGGGTGAGTCCCAGCTGGGTTAGAAGCAGTGAGTAAACCGCTCACCCCCCGCCACCCCGGGCTCCCTGTGGCTGCCAGAGCGTCTGCTGGAAGGGGGGTCGGCACACAGGAGTGGCTGTTCCCCACATGTGTGGGCCCCGAGACCTGGCTCTTTTCGTCTGGAAAGAAAAGTTCTCCGGAAGCCAGAGTCTGGGGCTTGTGGGGTCTTACAGTTATGAATGCTTAGTGGAGAAACACTTCATCTGTTCAGCGCTGTTAAGAAAGAAGGTATTCTGTATTATAAGTAAAGGTTCCAGAAAACTAAAGCTGACCTCTGTCAGTGCCACACACACACACACACACACAAAATTTAACATGTCTTCGTGGAAGATGTGTCACCTCTTTCTTGCCCTATATGACAGGGGCTGAAGACCAAAATGCAAAATGTTCTCGACGGCACCATCATTGTCCTTGGCTGTGATGCTGTGCTGTGATTTTGTGATACCTGATAGAGACGTGAAGGTGTGATGGAGCCATTTGCCCTTACGCTCACTGGCCCTTACGATTCTGTTCTCCACTCCCTTCCCGTCCGCATCATCCTCAGTGAGTTTCTTCTAAAAAGCCTTGCTTATCTCTCTTCCCCTCCCCTCTCCGGCCTCCCTCTCCTCTCCTCTTTCTCATACACACACAGACATTCTAGCCTGCTATCCACTCGAATCCAGAAGAACGTTTTCGTGGAAATCAGAGAAGGTCGTTAGATTAGGAACGGTAGATTTATACTCACGATGGATGCATGAACTTGAACCCAAGTCTGAGAATGACTTGCCTCCTGTTCTAGAGCGTCAAGACCAGGGTCATCCTGACGTAGGGACCTGGGACGAGCTTCCAGTCAGCTCCTCCCTGAGCCTGGGTCCCCTCTTCTGTAAAACGGAGAATATTCGGGGTCACTGTGAGTTGTCAGTGGAACGAAGTCTGGCTGCTGGGGTCCTGTCTTCCTTGCCACCCAGAGGCTGTCGCCGTTTCTTTTCTGGGTCTGTGGCTTTGTTCTTGGTGAGTTTGCTGAGAATCCTGGTGGAGGAATGTCACAGCCGCGACCTCATCACCCCCGTACTCTTTTCTGTCTGTACAGCGTATCTGTAAAGTTGGGGGATATATACAAATAGACTTATTTCCCGCGTACGCTAGAAGAACATTCTGTGAAAACAAACACCTTCTCTTTCAGCTTCACTCGCCAAGTGCAAAGAAGGAACTGAGACTGGCTTAACTGGTCCTGGAACTTTGATTACATCCCATTTGGTTCCCAAGACTTTTTGAAAAAAAATCTTACCTGTGGATTTCCTAGGTTGTTGACAGGTGATGCTTTTGGCCAAAGGCTTACAGCAGGTTTCGGGCCAAGAAAACATGTCAGCAATTTCAGAGGAGCTGAGCTTGAGGAATAAGCTGAAATAAAACGTGACCGTCACCTCACCTGAGTCCCAAGTCCAGAAGCCGGTGCCATTATTCCACACCACGCCTTTGGTGGACAAATAGGGCATTTCCGTAATCTGAGGATAGCAGAGCGGGAGTAACGGCGTTGGTGGGGAGAGGGGGAGAAAAACACGCTGCCAGAGATACGCATCTTTGCACCTGGGCTGGTGCCTGTCCTTCCCTCTGCCTGGAGCCTGTGCTCCCAAATTCTGGCACGCTCACCCTGTCACCTGCTGCCCTCGGGTCCTTGCTCAACGGTCATCTCCTGGGGAGGCCATCCGACCACCGCTTTTAAAATTTCGGACTGCCACCATTCTCTCTCCCTCCCTTCTGATTTATTTTTCTTCATAGCTGTTATTACCACCTGACAGGCTATATACAACTACTGTTGGCCTCCCCCATTCCAATGCAGGTTCCAAGTGAGCATCATTTATGCCTTATCAACTATAGATATACACACACATATCCATACATCCATATATTTATTGTTCACAAATTGTTACATAGACCTGAGTGCCTGCCACATAATTGGTGCTCAACAAATATGAATTAACAAATCATGTGTATACATTGATTATCAGGGTAAGCCTCACTTTCAGAAATGTTGAAAGCGTGAACAAAAATATATTCATCTCAAAATCAAGAGAAATGGTAAAATGCCAGGATGACTTCGATCAGCTAATCGTACGTATTCCGAGAATCAGTGTGAGGAGGCTGAATGTGTTTTCAAGCCGTGTTGGGCTGAAATTATTCCTCTTCTGACTCCAGCCGTCGTCATATCAGTAATAACGAGAATCAAAGAAGATCGCGGGTGCGGGTGTTCTAGGCTCATTTCTGAGGGCTTCCCGTGTGTCCTGTCATTTCACCCTCACGATGACACGCTTATCCTGTCAATTTAATAGATGAGAAAACTGGGGTCTCGAGAGGGTATCAGAATTTCTTTTTTGTTGATTTGGAAAATTTTTCATATACTCACAAATAAAAGTCAGGGTTGGCAAATTTTCTGTAACGGGCCTGACAGTAAATAATTGAGGCTTTGTGGGGCATATCGTCTCTGTCACAGCTACTCACTTCTGCCGGTGTGGCGATAAAGCAGTTGTAGATAATATGTAAATGAACGAGCATGGCCGGGTTCCAATGAAACTGTACAAAAAGAGGCTGGCAGGCCAGATGTGGCCCATCAGGTGCCGTTTGCTGACCCCTGAACTGAATAGAATCTTCCTGAGGGCAAGGACCATGTCATTTTCTTTGTTCATCATTGTATCCTGCTCAGGAAGCACGGTGCTTTGCACATGGCAGGTCTTGAATGAATGAATGAATGAATGAATGAAGAAACCCAAGGAATCAGTTGGTGACCTGCCTGTTGAGACCACCATGACTAAAGCTGCCGTTCTCCCTCCTTCCTCTCCTTCTCACCCATTCCAGGCCAAAGGGCCAGCCCCCACCTGCCAGCCTCGCTTGAAAGTCCCTGGGGAACTGGGTGATGAGGCCCAATGGGTTCTTCTGCCAGTGGTGGCTTTTTCTAGAACTTCTTGGAGTTCCGTGTGTTTGTTTATTGATTCATCTCTTGACACCTCTCCCTATTCTAGAAAGGGTGGAGGCAGTTTACAAAACAAAATAAGGTCACGTACATTAAACTGAGGCCAAAGGAAGGCTACGTGACGGTGGGACCATAACTTGGAGTCAGGATTGACATAAAGCACGGGCCACGAAGACCTTGCTGGAGGGCACCTGAGAGCTGGCTTGGAGCTTTCTGGCAGCCAGTGGGGAAAGCAGTGTGCTCCCTTCTACCACGCTGTGTCCAGACGACTGACACAGACCATTGCTCATGGCAGGCGGGGCTATGCTTAGTGCTCGGGGCAGGTGGAAATTTCTCCAGACGGCCTGCCAAGAAGACACTGTGAGGGCAGTGGAACAGCTCTAAGCTTCCTCCTAGTGGATGTGACAGGAGTTCCCGGCTGTTTGCTACAACGGTCCATGGGCTAGACTCGCCGTCGTGTACTCATGCTCTAATGGTGAGGACCCATCTGGACATCTGCGTTGACCTGTCATGACTTGGAGTGGACTCAGGGCAGCTGCATGAACAACTGGGCCCTGTGGTCTTCAGATGTCATTAGAGCATAAAGGGGAAGCTCTCAGTCAGGGAGACCAGGCGAAAATTCAGGCTCTGCTTCTGCCCTTTGGCCTAGTCCCATTTTCTTTGGACCCCAGCTCCTCATTGAGAACTGCGGGTTGACAGCAGCATTGACCCCCCCCCCCCTGGCGTTTTGGTGAGGCCCAGATAACGAGACAGCACTGTGGCCTCGACAGCCATCGTTTTGTTTAAGGCTCTGAGCACGTTGGCAAGGTAAATGTCATCCCCATCCGCCTCCTGCTGCGGAATACTTTAGATCAGTGTTTCTCGACCTTTTTTTCATTATCACCCTCCTAAGAAGAAAACTTTAATTTAATTTCAATTCTCCCTGGTGAGAGAAATTAAATACTAAGGGATAAGATTTATCGGGTAGGGTTTAGCTTTGGAAGGCCACAAATGATTGTAATATCTTAAGATTTTTTTACCACCACATCTTCTGAACTAATTTTTGCCCCCCTGGGGGGAAAACATCACCCCCGTTGAGAATGCATACTTTAGATAAATTAACTCTTCTTAGTGATCCATTTGATGGATGAAGAAACTGAGGCCCAGAGAGGTACAGCGAGTTGCCCAAAGTCACAGAGCTAGTGAGAGAGAATTGGAATTCAGTTTCAAGAGTCCTGGCTCTAGACTGTGCTTCCAGCCACTCCTTGTAGCTCATGGCAACAAACTGCGCCCTCTGTAATGTGTCTTGTTTTTTTCACTTAGGTATATATCTTGTCGATTCTTCAGTTTCATCCATATAGGATTGCCTTGTTCTTTTTAATTGCTGCATTGTTTTCCATCTGTATCAGCATAGCGTAAGTTATTTCACCAGGACACAGTTAGTGAAGGCTGGGTTATTTCCAGTCTTTGGCAATTAAAATCTCTGCTGTCACAGGCCTGCATCCACAAGTGTCATTTACTTAAGTGTCAGCAGGCTTGAAGGTTAAATTCCTAGAAACGGAATCACCACACACTTGCTAAAAGATAGCATTTTGTTGGGAGCATGGAAACATTTCCCCAGAGCTGAAATTCTTAACCAAGCCATTCCAGGTCGATTTGCACCACTTTCTTAACAACCAAGGTACTGTTTTGACCCCCAGATTCCATGGGACCCGCTCATTGACTTAGACGAGGCTCCCCACTCCTGCGCCTTCCAGGCACTTGGTTACCAAATTCCCCTTTTGTCATCCGGTATTTCCCTACGAGGTTTTGCACCGTTTGCTTTTGAAGTTCAATTCTCATCTCGTTAAAAGAAAGCCCGGGCAGCCAGCTTTCGTTCCTGCGGCCTGGGTGCATGCTTAGGGCTCAGATACAGCAACCTCGTGGCATCTCCCGAGTCTTGACACCCACCAGGTTGGCAGGAAGGAGAATCCTTCCCATTTCGCTGGTCTTTCTGAAATTTCTCCAAGAGCAGGATCTCATTCTGCAGACTCTCCTTGGCCTTCATGCATAAGGGTTAAGCTTTTAGCAGTCCGGGAAATCCAGCGTGAGTGGCCGTGGTTCAGTATCCGCAGGGGGCAAATTAAAATCGCTTCTCCTCGACTTTGCTGGCAAATTCTCGGTGGCTGAGTCCAGGCTAAATTGTGACCTCAACTGGAAAAGCTGGAGGCAGAAGAGGGCCTGGGAACCCAGGAAGGGTGCCGTCAGCCCCTCTCTGCAGCGTGCTGCCTGTAATTAAAGACTGCTGCACCATTAAAATCATCTGAGTCATTAAACCCAATGGTGTTTGGCAGTGGTTGGTTCTGTAAGATCCTTGAAGAGCAGGTTGATGGGATGGAGAGGCCTGAACAGTATTTTGTGCAAATAGAACCCACCAGCCTACTTTGTCTGGTGATGAAGTCAGGCTGTGGCTTACGGCTGCCCCCACGCCCATTCTGGAAGCTCAGATTTGCCGATTAAACATGGCGGCCAGGTTGATAATTGCGTGTTGCTGGATTTCATCGTGGTGATGGGGTTAACCATGCTTTCCCACTCTCCCTGGAGCACAGTAGGTGCACAGAAATGGATTTAATGCATTTAGACATCCATTCAACAGATGTCTACCCGATCCCTGTCACGTACTAGGTAGGGTTTATGGATACATGGGGGATATAACAAAGTAGCTTGCATTCTAGTTGGAGGATAAGCCAATATATAACATCCCAGATATGATAAGCAGCATGGGAAGGAACATAGTGAGAGGGATAAAGAATGCCTGTGGGTGGGCAAAGGAGCTTTTGGAGGAGATGTCTTCTAAGCAGTTGCCTGGGGAGTAAACCATGAGGATATCTGGGAGGAGGATATCTGGGCATAGAGAACAGCCAGTGCAAAGGCCCTGAGGTAGGTGGCAGCATTTACTCATTTACTTTGGGTCTCTATAGAGCACCACAGGAGGTCAGAGCTGAAGGACCTTCAGTCGAGCCCCTTCCCTGTCAGATGAAGACCGAGGCCAGAGAGGGGAAACTGACTGTCCCAAGGTCACACGGCTGCTGGTAGAACAATTTTTCAGGACCCCCTTCTCCCATCCTCACACTTCACAGAGACTTTGAGGGGCCTCAAAGCAGCAGAGAAGTTCAGAGTGCTGTGTGTGCTGTGGTGTTACTAATACAACATGGGGAAAAGGGGTTCCACTCTCTGGCCCAAGCAATTGGTTTAATCCTTGTCGGTCGCCACGTTCTCCTATGAAAACGGGATACCCAACACCTCACTGGCTTGTTGGGAGAATTCAATAAGCTAATAAGTCTAGACATTTTTGCACTGTGTCTGGTGCACCAGAATCAGTAAATAGGACTTCTGCTCTCTTCCCTGTTCCTCCGTTTCCCCCCCACAATGATTTCCAGGGGGAATCCCTGAGGGTTTGCATTTGATTCCATTTTACAGATACAGAAACTGAGACTCAAAAAGGTTAGACCCTTTAACACAGCCAGGAAGTGAAGGGGCCAGGATTGGAGCCCTGACGGTTTGACGCCAGCCTGGAGGTCATTCCTGTGCCCTCCCCATCTTGAAGCTCCCTCTGGATTCTTCATGCTTTGATTAGCTTGAGCCGTGAGCCGACAGGGGAAGGCCAGATCCTTGACGACTCCTCCTTCTCATCTTTGGTGTGAGCCGAAGGGTCGGCCTGGCCCTGGAGAAACGCAGCCCTAGTGGCCCCGGGCTCTGGGCCCCAGCTGACCTCATCCCCAGCCATCCCTGCTGGCCTTCTGTCAGATCCACCTCGCGGTTTATTTCCAGAGCCTCTGAGATGTCTTGCACGACGACTTCCTCGTCCCATGGGGCTGTGGCTAATTAGCCTTTGATTATTCACAAACCCAGAGGCAGGAGGGGGAGACCGGGTCCTCCTTGCTCTAATCCCCCACGTGAAACTCGGGCAAGGCCGTGGGCTTCTGGAAGTCGCTGGGCCAGGATTTGGAAATCGGAGGTGAAAACAGTCGAGAAATCACCAGCAAAGCCCATGCCCTCGAGTCTTCGCGTGGGGAGAAATGGACGCTGAGCTTGTCTCTTTGGGGCCACTGTCACACCCCCGGGTCCCAATAAACATGTTTGTCGTTGTCGATTTTGGGTTTTCCCTTGGGCACATCCTCCGCCACCTCCCTGTTACCACAGCCCGCTTTCTAAGAAGTGACTTCAGTTGTCACCAGGCCAGGAGACAGTTGGCTCCCTTTTAGGCTGCACATAAAGTGGGACATTTCAAAACCAGGAGTTCTGCCGTGCGCTTCTGGCAGGAAGAGAAATCTCTTTTCTTTCTCCCTGGCTCTATTGATGGGAGAAAGGACTCGAAAGAAGATGAAACGCCTCCGCATTTACGATCTGTGGCATTATTGGTGCAGGCTCAGAGTGCTGCATTCATTCAACAAACAGTCTCAACTCACTCAGCGCAAATTCCAGAGTCTTTACAATGGTCTAGATCTGTACTTGTTGACATTGGGGCCAAATGAATCTTTGTTAGGGAGAAGGGGGGCCGTCTTGTGCATCTAACATGTTTAGCGGTATCCCTGGCCTCTACCCACCAGGTACCAGTACCCTGCACCCCCAGTTGTGACAAGCAAAATAGTTTCCAGATATTTGAGATGTTCCATGAGGGGTAACATTGCCCCCATTAAGAACCGTGGTTCTTGGGGCCGGCCCCATGGCGTAGTGATTGGGTTTGGCGCAGTCTGCTTTGGTGGCCCAGGTTCACAGGTTCGGATCCCCGGTGCAGACCTACACCACTTGACAGCCGTGCTGTGGCGGTGACCCACATACAAAATAGGGGAAGATTGGCATGGATGTTAGCTCAGGGCAAATCTTCCTCAGCAAAAAAAACCCCACAAACAAACACAAAACCCCACAGTTCTAGAAGGCTTTATACAATCTAGCCCCCATTCTCACCCTGACTTAGTTTCCTGCTTTGTTTCTAGTCACATTGGCCTCCTTGCTGGTCCTCACTGACAAGGTGAGCCACGCCGGGCACACTGTCACCCAGGGCCTTTGCACTGCAGTTCCCTCTGCCTGAAATGTTTTTCCCCTAGATATCCACTCACTGCTTCAAGTCTCACTTGAATCCCACCCTCTCCATCACAGCCTACCTTGACGAGCATTCTGCTGCCCGCTCTCTTCCACCCTACTATGTGCATTAGTTGTGCATAGTGGTATTCTTATAGCTCATCTGTCTCCCTGTGCTGGAATTAGAGTTCCATGAGGCCAGGAGTTTTGTCTGCCTTGTTCACAGGTGCCCTCCAGGCCCTTGGATCACATTTCTTTCATGACACATTTATCCAGTGCCTGCTGTATACACGCACCAGGCATTGTCTGGACACAGGAATATAATGGTGAGGGGGGAGATCACTTCCTGCCCTGAAGGAGCTCAAAACTCTCAGAATTCAGATTCCACTTGCCCAGAGCTGGAGGAGAAGTTTTGCCCCTGGTGCGGAGGGGAAAAGGGGCATGGAGATTCCTGGGCAGGCAGAGATGAGACAGGGCCCTCCCCTGGGAGCTGGCTGCAGGGCTGGGTTTGGGGAGAAGGGTGTTTCTCCTGCCAGGGCCAGCCCTGCTCAGCACCTCACGTGATGGGGGCCCCTCCTGGCCTCCCCGGAGCTCAGAGCTCATCCCCTGGAAGCCCTTGCCTGCAGCCTCCCGCTGGCCCCATTGATATTCAGGCCACCCTGCGCTCTGAATAAACAGCGCCCTGCCATCCTGCCTGATGCAGCAGCTTTTGCCTGAGGCAGGAGAGCGTTGGAAGGGCGATAAAAATAGTGTTTAGTTACCCACACTCTGCTTATTCTGTACTTTCGAGCAGCAACACGTCTTCCGATGTGTCGGGCGGGCAGCAAGGCCATCCTTCCTCCTTCGTGTGGGGCAGCCTTGAGACGGCCTCCGAGGTGCCCCATCCTCAGACAGGCGTCTTCAGCTGTCAGTGACCCCCGCCAAGTTGGGCCTGGCCCAGGCAACCAGTTTTTCCAGAACCCTCCCCTTCTGTCCCCCGTCTTAGTCAGAGGCTTCTAAAGAGTGGGACAGAAGCAAATGCTGAGGCTGTGCTGCTGCGCAGGAGAGGAACCCCTGTCGGGGAGCAGCCGCTGATCCTGTAGTTGCTCCTCCTGCAAGTGTGAGCTTGCTTTGGGGATTCCTAATGACACTGGAACACTTGATCCCTTTTAATCTTCTGCACCAGGTGGTAGCTATCTTTGCCCCATTTTACAGATGAGGACAATGAGGCACAGAGAGATCAAGTAACTAGCTCAAGATCACACAGCGCATGAGCAGTAAGAGATGGAGAGGGGATCCAAACCCATTCCTCTCCAAGCCCATGCTGGGAGCATGGTCCCATCCTGCCCTCTGCCCTTGCGGGAATTTGAGTGCTGTTCCCCGGATATCTCCAGGGGTCCTCACCTGCACCTGCTCCGGGCTGGCCTTTCTGAATTACAAACAGTGGTCGCTAATGTTGACTCTAAGAGGGAGATTCTTTTCTCATTTAAAATCTTTAAGCAAGAACCCTCAAGCCTCTGGCTTGGGAGCAAATACATAGCTTTACACCTCTAAAGTGTCACGTTATTTAATTGGTACAACTCTCTGAAGGGAACTACAGTGGCTTTGCTAAGTGGTGGTGGCATTAGGGAGATGCCCAGAATGAAAGATTAAATACCAGGTGTTTGGGTGTTAACGGGAGGTTTCCAGTGCTGTCCGATGGTGTTCACCTGAGGGATGCCAGATACCCCGTCCTGCCCATCGCCCCTCTCCCCTCCTGGTTTCCTGAGATCTCTGGACATCAGCTAGAGTAGCAAACGGGAATCCGCTGCCCTGTGTCCTCGTGCAGAGTTCTGGTAAAAGGCTGCTCTGGGACTGAGTTGCTGAAGTACGTTCTCCGTTCTTCTTTGCTTGCAGCTGCAGATCTGAATTTCGGCCCTGGCATGCTCCCATGTCTTCAGGGAGCCTGACTGAGTTTACATTTCCATTGCACGGAGCCAGCGGTGCAGCCCATGCCGGGGTCTGGTCCCTGCCCATTGGTCATGTGGGCCACTCAGTGCTTGGGGCTGCGAGCAATTGGATGGGCTTCTCATCCTTTGCCGGCGGGACTGGGTAGGGCGTGGAAAGAATTGGGGAGGGGGTGTCCTTCCTCTGCTGGGCCTCACTTGGGACAGAAGAGGGTTTCAGGAAAACCGTGCGTGGCCCAGTGGAGATGCTGTCAACCCAAACGTGCATTTTCTCATTCACTTCCCCTTTAAAGTCAGAGTTTTCTCTGCTTCGTTTCCAATTGCTATTCTGGTGGCACAGCCTCCT